TCCTTTCCACCAGTGTCGCGCCTCTCCATCCAGATGGTAAATGGATATGTGTGCCCTAAAAAGATCAGGACACTGGATAAGATCAAATATCTGAGTCATCCTGTCCAACCAATCCTCGGCCACAGTTAGATCAGATGTCAAATCTTGAATCAATCATCACTCATCAGTCATCAATCAACAATCAACAATCAACATACATCATAAATTCGTAAGAAAATTTAAGGCGTCAATCCTAAAGTCCTAACCGCATGATATCTACGTTCCCTATCATCATGTCTAAGTGAATAGAAGAAAGAAGAGTTATGTCGAGTTCCCTCACCTCAGTCTAAAGGATGAACCCGAAAGATCTGCTCTAATCATTGGTCCCAGGTTCAACAATCTCAAGATTTCCTTCACCTATAATTATTTAATATACAATAATCTTAATTATAATTATACCCACTTAAATCATCATCATTTTTTTTTGGAACTATAGAATCGAAAAGATCTAATACGTAATATGGAGAGAAAGAGAATAATAGGAACTATAATAATAACGATAGCAATAATAATAATGATGATTATAATAATAATAATAATAATAATAATAATAATAATAATAATAATAATAATAATAATAATAATAATAATAATAATAATAATAATAATAATAATAATTAGAGGAAGAAGAAGAAGTACGGTGAAGATGATGATGATATTTAATAATAATAATAATAATAATATAAAAGAATAAAATAAAGAAGAAGTGCATATGTGAGAGAGGTGACGACAGAGAGGGAGTACATGTCTGTAACAATGCGTGCCAGAGAGAGAAGAATAGAGAGAGAGAAGAGTGATGACGGTAGAAAAGAAAATAGGGTTTATAAGAAGAGAAAGAAGAAAAACAAAACCTAATAAAAATTAAAATTTTAACTCTTATTTTTTTCTAGTTTTTAAATTTATCCTTAATTTTATTTTGTGTACAAAAACCTTTTCAAAATTAACAGATTTTTTTTGAACTATTAGATTTATCAATTACATCCCCAAACTATATTATTATTTTTTTTTTCCGAATTGCATACGTTATAACGACAAAGCACTGAGAATGGCAACACGATGGTTAAATTTAAGAGAGAACTCAGTGGCCTCCGATGAGTTTGGTGGTCGGTATGAAAGTTTCGGTGACGAAATTCTTATTCTCGACGTTGTTCATGTCGAAGATAACCGGAAAGCTCCTCCGGTCGAGCAAACCTAGGGTGTTTTTCTTATAGAAATAGAAAATAAATAAAATTTAATCTAATTAGATACAGTTCACATGATTATAAATTTAGAAAAATAAATAAGTTAACAAATTTGATGAATTTGAGATGATTCATAATAAATGTTTACTGAAATCTAAATAGTGTTTTCACCACATTCATTATAACGTTATGTATCTATGAACGCAATAAAATGGTTAAATGAATAGCAAATATTTATTTTATATCTCTCTTACATTCATTTATGAATAACTATAATCTTAAAATTTGAATTTTTTTTAAAATAAAATTGGAGATACGTGTCAATCCTAGAGAAGAGACTATACTTTTATATATAAAGATGATAATAATAATATAGGGGTAATCACCAAAAAAACGTTATACTTTTTCCAGGTCAACGAAAAATCTCTATATTTTTTTTATTATCAATTAAACCTTATACTTAGTGTGATTAATCCATAAAACCCCGTACTTTTTAAAAATTCACCGAAAATCCCCTGCGAATGTCAACTCAAACAAAAATGATGATGTGGCAATGACATAACATGAACACATCATCATAATTATACCACATCATCATTTCAAACAAAATTTAAATTAAATTAATATATATACATACAAATTCACACATATATATATTAAATATAAAATTATTTATAACTAATAAAAAATATATGTATATCTACAATACATATATTATAAATTATATTATAAATAATATATATATATATACATATTTTTTAATATATATCATGTATGTATATAAAATTAATTATAATTATTTTTATTTTAATATATATTAGTTATAATATACATATATGTTGTTGTAGTTATGTGTATATATATTTTATTAATTACAAATAATTTTATTTTTAATATATATATGTATGTGGGAATTTATATATGTATGTATGTAAATAAATAATTTAATTTAAATTTTGTTTGAAATGATGATGTGGCATAATTATGATGATGTGTTCATGTCATATCATTATCACATCATCATTTTTACTTGAGTTGGCATTCGCAGGGGATTTTCGGTCAATTTTTAAAAAGTATAGGGTTTTATAAATTAATCACACCAAGTATAGGGTTTAATTGGTAATAAAAAAAAGTATAGGGTTTTTCTAGTGAGTA